ACCCCCAACTGTACTCTCTTTGCCGGTGAGGGGGTACTTGTGAACGGAGCGGATAGTAAGGACTAGTGCAGTGCCCGTCTAAAATGTGCATGTTCGGGAAGTGCAAATTGCTTTGCCGCTGGTATTGGTTGCATGCTTGCAGAGTTTTTGAGAACTGCTCGTGCCAAGTTTAAAGTTGTTTGGGCGAGTGGTTCTCGAAAAAGCTGCAAAAAGTAGCGCAGATATTAACCCCTACTGGACAATGGCATCACCCTGCAGAAAGGTTGCTCAGTCGACCGCCTATGGTCGCTCAGTCGGCTGCAAAAATAATGTGCCCGTGCAGCCACCACGTAGGTGTACATATACGGAAACATGGTATGCAGGTTGACCGTAAGGTCATGGCAAAATTCTGATAAATGCAATTCAAAAATCTGTCGGATTTATCAAAAATCTTCCAAATTCCCCAGATTACTCGAAATAGACTATAAACACTTAAGATCACATGCAGATGTTGTAATATTGCCTTAATTTAGGTTCAAATTACATTATAAACAATCTATAGCCACCTAAAGTTAGTATGTTAATAAAGATGTTATAAATGATGTATTTAAATTTCAGGCAAAACGCGGTTGCCGCAAGCCGGATGAAATCGACCTGGTTAGACCAGGCAACCTGTCCTACTTTGCAAGGGTTTGTTTAAAAAGATTGAAGCTTTTTTATAACAAATGTACCATATTTTTTTCAAATTTACAATTTTTTTTTACAAATTTGCTATTTTCTGAGAAATAACCATTTTTGAGGAATTCTGTCAGATATCCACCAAAAACATCCATTCTGTCAAATTTTCTGTCCTACTTTGCAAGTGTTTGTTTAAAAAGATTGAAGCTTTTTTTAACAAATGTACCATTTTTTTTTCAAATTTACAATTTTTTTTTTACAAATTTGCTATTTTCTGAGAAATAACCATTTTTGAAGAATTCTGCCAGAAATCTACCAAAAACATCCATTCTGTCAATTTTTCTGTCAAAATCGTTTTTTTTAGCAAAAAATCTGCCAAAGCCGAAAATCGGCTAAAACGGTCACTATGATGGTATGCAATGTATATATTCACCCTTACTGGACCACGGTGTCGCCCTACAATGCACGTGCATGTCTAGGCTATTATACTGGCACGTTTGCCTCAGAAAATAGTACTTTTTTGCAGCTTTTTTTTCGAGAACCGCTCGTCCAAACAACTTGAAACTTGACACTGCACATTCTGTTGTTCCGAGCAATACACCCGCCGATTTTCAACTTCATACGGTGCCCGGTTCTGGAGATAATCGGCGTACAGACAGACACCCACACACACACACACACACACCCATTCTGGAATTTGTATTCCTGTGGAGACATTTCTTTGTTCTCGTGTAGTAAAGTTTTCGAGTTTGAAATTGAAGTTTCAAAATGCTCTTATTTTAAACAGAATTAATTTCCTGGGCTGAAATTTGGACTAAATATCCCTTTTCTAAAACTCTTCCATTTGCGACGGATCAACCTACCTTGGAAATTCCTAGTTTTTGAGTAAAATCCATATATCTATTTCGTGAAATTCTTGTGGAGACGTATTCATCTATAGAAATGTTCTTCTGGAGACGTATACAATCTTTTGTTCCCTATTGTGTTCATGTCTCCGTAAGGTAGTAAATTCCAGCACACCCGCCAACACACACACACAGACTTGTTTCACATACCTAGTGTGGACTTTCCTTTCTTTTCGTGTAGTTAAGGAACACCAGTGGAAAAACTCATTTTTCTCAAACTGTGAAAACTCTTACAACCCAATTTTTTTTCAATGATTCCCTTTAGTGTTTCTCTTCATTCTGCTACAGATAAACCTAACCCAAAAATGCCTCTAAACCTGTTTTCCAGAAATGGGGAAACACTGTGTGGACGTGGGCAAGTCCACACTTCGTCGCTGCTACCTACATTATGTGGACGTCTTTTGTTCGGAAGTCCACACTGCGTATGTAAGACAAGCTCACCCCCACACACAGATTCCTGGAATTTTAGTATAGACTAGCGCAGGGCGAGTTGAAAATTTGCCTGTTCGGAAGGGGCAGAGAACTGCTCATTCAAACAACGCGCACGATTCACTGGTGTTGTTTTCGCCTAGCTCCATGGTTGAACGCACACTTACAGGTTAAACGCACACTTTCTACACATCGTCATCCCCTAGCACTGATATTTACCCGTACTGGACAATGGTATTGCCCTACAGTAAGACTTTGCTCAGTCGGCCGCCTGCAGTGATTGTTGCTCAGTCGACTACAAAATGTACCCGTGCAGCCACTGACGTACGCGTACTCACGTACGCGTACACACGGAAACATGGTGGGTCCTAGCTCTATGGTTATATGCAGTGCTATTCACCCATACTGGACAATGGTATCACCCTACAATGCATGTGCCCGTCCTTTTTCCATTGTTGCGTCATACTGATCACGCGCGGTTTAGCTCAAACATGACGTAAACAATTGAACATGTGCGTGTTTTAGGCAATAATCTGCCACGTTTGCCCCCCAAAATGTTCCTTTTTTGCAGCTTTTTGGAGAACCGCTCATCAAAACAACTTCAATCTTGGCACTGCACATTCTGGTGCAATACACCCGCCGATTTTTAACTTCATACGGTGCCCGGTTCTGGAGATAATCGAAATACAGACAGACAGACAGCCCGACAGACAGACAGACAGCCCGACAGACAGACAGACAGACAGATAGAGATAGATTCCTGGAATTATAGTAGAGATTATAACACTCCGTTTAAAACCGGTGTGAGTCTGGATGGGTGATAATTCCAGACTCACACCGGTTTTAAACAGAGTGTTTAATACCGACGGAACACATATTTATTTCCTTTCATAAATACCTTTTTGGTCAAAAGACCCAATCTTTTCGGTCCAAAAATCAAAATAAGTAAAAAACTAGACGTTGTTAACCATTTTTTTCAACAATTTTACTTCATGTTTTACGAAACACCCCTCTGACTATAATATGGAATGCCCCTCCACAATTGCGTGCGCGTCGCGCACTCCACCTCCATGGTCGCGCGTACTGCGCGATGTCGCGCAAAACGCAGCTGGGCTTGTGTAGTGTGAATTACTGACAGATCAGTGGTGTGAATATCGGACTATGAAATAATGATTCACTGGTAGTATTGCGCATGCATAAGTGGGGAATTTGAACGTTCAAACAATGGAACGTTAAAAGGCACCGGATTTCATGGGAGTCCAACTTTCATGTGACACTGGTGTTTAAGACCAGCTAGCCATGTCTTTATCATCCGTTTACGAGACGGGCTCTCGACCAATGGGAATGCCTAAACTGTCTTAGGTATTTATGAATAGATGTTTAATGTATGCATTTAAAGTACGGTTCTTATATTATTGGTATTCGGGAAAAAACACTTTTAAACATGCCTAAGAAAAACACAAAATGATGAAGTTATTAAAGCATTTCGTGGCATATTGTGTAAACCAAGTGTCACCATAATCAGACCCTCTCAGTTTTTACAAAAATATTTTACCTATAGCATTTCTTTCAGCAGTTATCCTGCAAAGCGCACCTTAGATATTAAACTTAAAATGATTCCAATCAAAAAATAAGGGGAAATTTCACAGTGCATGCAGTGAAGTCATTCTAACATCTCAGCATATTTAACATTAGTACATGTACTTTGGCCAGAAAAGATGTTTAATTCTTCAGTGATTCTCCAGTGAGGTGATTCATGTCACATGCAACATTATGTTGCCACAATGATGTTACCTTTTGTGAGGATGTGGTCTATAAAATGTTAATAAAGTGTCTAATAAAATGTCTAAATAAACCATATTTAATTTGACTGAAAATGAAGGCATCACAACGAACAAAAACAACATGAATAACATCCAGGTGGCTTTTTGGGGTGCCACCCACAAAGTACTCCCATTCACAACTGTAACTGAACCCTGTGAATAAGCACCACACCAAGGTGAAAATATCAGGGTGCCTAGTGCAATTGTTGCTATTTATATGCCCTGAAATATTGGTTTCCCCGTCAATTTGGAAAATGTGCATTTGAATTTGTAAAACATAAATTCAATTTTGCGCTGATTTTGAGAACGACGTATATCCGGGTTTCATTTTGGCAATAACTAGCATTCGATTTCATTTTGCATCATTCAAATAAATGAATGTGCATAATGTTTCATTTAAATGATTCCAAATACGTGATTAGGCTTTTGGTCGACGGATGCGTTGCCCATTATGACGAATGTGCAATCCAATTCGCAGAAAATCGATTTGTTATTGTGACACGGGCTGAATTGTACATTCTTTTTCACTTTGTCATAATTTACATTCGCAAAGTCTGCATTCAATTTAAATAAAGTATACGACTTATACAAATAATGATGCAGCTTTGATTGATTCATTGATTAATCAATGTATTGTTGGCCTAATTGATCATTAATGTGTTTGTTCTTATGTACACAAAGGCCGTTTTGAAATAGGCAATTGAATTGTTAGAAAGTTATAAATCTTACCAAAATTAAATCAATCAAAATATTCTTGTAAGCATATTACTGGGACAGTAAAGGGAAACATCACGTGTCATGTTACATGAGATCCGGGCGATATTTTGGTTGTTTCTTTGTCTTAATTGTATTTTAATGCTTTCTGTATTTTTTAAAGTTCTCTCTAATTTTATCAGTTGGATTGCTTGGTTATATGATGCGATTGTGGCAAATGCTGAGCAAAAAAAAGAACGATTGTGTTCATCTTAGGTTTTTATATAGGATTTATTACAATAGTTGGTAGGTTTTGAAAGACTACATCACTTTGGTTTTAAAAGCTCAATCATCATGAATATTCCAAAATTTAATCATTCAATCAAACATTCCTCATATGTTACTTTTGTGAACACATAAATGAATTCCAATTCTCAACCAGGCATACGTTAAAATACGATTTCGCGCTAAAATGAAATGTCAATATTGAAATGCATTGCACATTCGGGAATTCGTATGCTGATTTTTTACGACTGAATGCAACTTCATGGAAATAGAATTATCATTTGTTAAATAGAAACAGGGATTTGGAACGTTCATTCTATTTCGCACGAAAGCGAAAGCTTCTTTAACAAATTCTTGTACATATTTTCCGAAATTGTCCGGGAAAACCTATACTCAGAGTCATTCCTCTTTTCAATTCGTATGCTGATTTTTTTATGACTGAATGCAACTTCATGGAAATAGAATTATCATTTCTTAAATAGAAACAGGGATTTGGTACGTTCAGTCTATTTCGCACGAAAGCGAAAGCTTCTTTAACAAATTCTTGTACATATTTTCCGAAATTGTCCGGGAAAACCTATACTCAGAGTCATTCCTCTTTTCAAATAATTATACTTTGATCACTCACAGTTGAAAATTACAAGTTATGTGCACAGGCAACTGAGCATATATGCGTTATACCAATCATTATCTCATTGTGAGTAGCCCATACGGAACAATGTTCTGTTCCTGCATAATACGTATGCATGGAGAGTTGGGTAGGACCGCAATATAGCTATTTAAAGCAATTTGGCTCACTAGTTTTCCATGATAGTTCAGTAAACAATGAGTTGGTCCAGCCTGGCCAGTTGATGCTGGGCTAGGCCAATAACCCTTTTTCCCAACCAAGTAACATCACTAACCATAATTCACAGGAATTACTTTCCTTAGCAATTATGTCCTCCAAAACTACAGAGAAAAGGTAAAACTTCACATTTCGTTCACATTTTCAGTAAAACAAACCCCAAAGGACAAATTTATAAAAAGGCAGTTGCACTTGCCTTAATTGTTCATCCAAATGCTTGACTGCAACAAATTTGTAACCAAAATGCCTAAAAGGGCAAATTACTTTACCTTATTGTAGAAACATCAGGGGTTATGAGCAATTAGGCATGACTATTTTTTTAACCAGTCTGCTTCTGCTGCCTTAAAAGTTTGAAATGCTCTACTGGAAAGGTACGATTATGCATTCGAGTCGGTAACTTGCAGCAATCAGGACAATGAATCTGGCAATGAACCTTGTAGCAGAGCTACATTTCTGACAGCCCAGACATCACAGACAATTTGGATAGTAAAGACTTCTGGTTGTTCTGAGTTTACAGTGCATAATTATAAATATCAAGAAACTTTTTCTGACGGACAAGGTGATGATGTGTCCATTTCATTGTCAGAGGTACTACTGGAGTCTGCCTCTGAGGCTTTGTTTAAAGACTCTTCTTCGTCCAACTTCTGTTTAATTTTTTCCAGACTCATTTTTAACGCATTATACTGGAACTTTCCTCTTCTTTCACCGTACGGGTCCTGTAATAACAACAGGGGAAAATTTGAGATCGACATTAGGTGTTTGAAATGATTACAAAATAATGATGTGAAACATGTTTAAAATTTGTACATTTTTGTTATGACCAATCAAAAACTTTAATAATGGTTAGAATTATTTTCTTCAATAGACATATATATAATATATATAAAAAGAAAACACTGCCATACTCTAACGTAAACAAGAGATGCAATTTGTGTTTAGCAGAAAGGTACATAACCAGATCTAGGTACACTAAATAAGAGAAGCGAAATCATCTCCAAGTGCAGGCATCGAGACAGGTGATTCGAAATAAGGTAAGATGCTACTTGTATTCTATTTTTTGTCTTTTTGCTAATGAGTGCCTTATGGAACCAAACAGTCTGTCCAGAAGAGAAACATGCCAAATAAAAGTTCGATTAGCTCATATTCTGAATTTATTGCATGATATATAATTCTATAATATTGGATGGCTTTGAGGCGGATACAAGAATATATTGCACGAGCTATGACAATATTGCACGAGTCAAAGACGAGTGCAATATTGTCATAGCGAGTGCAATATTATACAAATATTGAGTGGCTCAGCGTGGAATGGGAGGAATATTATCGCAAGGTAAAATCTGGACTTTTCCATTTCACGAGGCGAAGCCGAGTGAAATGGAAAAGTCCAGATATTACCGAGCGATAATATTCCTCCCATTTCACAATTTAAAGCCACTCAATATTTGTTTTATATAACTGACATATAGATCCTTGTCATTTGATATATTTGAACTTTTATTTCAATACAAACCTGGAGGAAAATGTATTTGTCTCTTCCAAACCACCCCTTCACGAAAATGTTTGAACCCAACGCTGTAGCGCTGGCTCTTTGGAACAATACGCGCTACGCTGAACGCGCACACCAGCATGCATTTGCACACAAATACCGCGTCATGAAATATTGAGTGGCTTTAAATTGTGAAATGGGAGGAATATTATCGCTCAGTCAAATCTGGACTTTTCCATTTCACTCGGCTTCGCCTCGTGAAATGGAAAAGTCCAGATTTTACCTTGCGATAATCTTCCTCCCATCCCACGCTGAGCCACTCAATATTTGTATACTGTAATTGTTAACAACAGTGCGCGTATACCTGGCCTTCTGCACGCTTCATGCGTGCGGCGTGTTCCGTGTTCGACGGTACGCGTGCGCGCTACGCTCTGTCGAGTGGTTTGACAACTGTGACTTTCTATGCTCTTGATCAAGCGGGAACCTGCGAAAATGCCCGGATTGACTGCAATAACAATGTTATTGCAAGTCAACTTTTTATGAAAGCATACAATATGCTGATTTATTTTTACCGCTGGAAGCCTGATATAAATAATATATATATATATTATTTATATATATATATTATTTATATCAAATTTATTATTTATATATATATGTATTATTTATATGTATTATTTATATATATATATATATATCGAGCACTGTGAATTGTGATAGAAGACGATTTCATTGGATATATATATATATATATATATATATATATTTGTGGGCATGCTGTGTAGCACAGTAGAGCCAATAGAAAGCGTGAATATTAAAAGTATAACAGTGCTCACGCGGTGAACTCCATGCGGCCACTACAAGTGCACCACAACCAATCTCGTCTATTGCACCGCGTGTGAACGCTCTGGTAAGCTTAGCATTGCCGAAACCAAGCCCTGTCTTGTAATAACACTGTAATAACTGGAGTCAATGATCCGACTCGAGTCCGACCCGAGTCACAATTTTTGGTGACTGGACTTGCTCGAGTCCATATGGGTAAATAACTCGACTGGAGTCACTGTGAGCAAATGACTCAACTCAACTAGAGTCCCTCACAAGAAGACTCGACTCGACTCGAGTCGATCCAAGGCTAAAAAAACTTAAAGGCAAAACTTTGCAAAAATTTGCAATGACTTACGGTGCAAAATATGTTCACGTCACTTTTCTGATACCATACACTGGTCATGAAAATACGTACAACGTGTCACAGACTCCCACCTTGTGGTTCTGGAATGCACAAAATACTATCTTCAATCGTACCTATTTGTACGATAATATGCATTGCAAAACACGACTTATCAGCTTATTGAACTCCCTCTAAAAAATATTTCAATTGAGGGCGCACTGATCATTTGTAAGATCTCTTCAACATAAACACGATGATATGTCTGTCTTCGCTCGTACTCCCCGCCCTGCAAACAGGGCGCTGGGATACTTTGATGAGCTTCACAGAATCTTGTGAAGGAAATGGCATATGACCTATGTATAAAGCATCTGGCTGCAGCTGTTCAAAACCGCAGTTAGACAATATGCGCAAATGCTATCCGAAAACTTCCCATAGAAATGCACACGTTCCATACCAGATGTGATTTCTGTTTCATTGCGGACCATGTGGACACAATTGTGAGGGTCGCATAATGCAATCCGACCGTTCGTGATTCGAAACGGAGCCTGAGCAAGTGACGGGAATTGTAAATTTACAACACAGATAAGTTTTACAGAATTTCCTACATTATTACGCTTTTCAAAAAATAAAATAACATCTCTAAACTGGAATAAAAGAGTAATGAATCAGTCTTAACGGCCGTTTCAAACCTTGCAGAGTCATGACCTTGATGACGCGCAGGTCACTGGTCACGCAAAATCCAGCCAATCAGAGCGTGAATTCATCAGAGTATCCCAGCGTCCTGTTTGCAGGGCGGGGGTACGAGCGAAATGTCTGTCATGTTCCTTTATTTGTTTTGCTCAAAATGGAGGGTTTTCCCCCTTCCAGTTTTCAGTACCGGGTACTTATTTCAGAGGTAGGCTTTCTGTAGCTGATGTGTTTGGGTGAATAATGAATTATTCAGATATTCAGTTTGATTTCTCTGACGATAAAGAAAATGTTAAACACTTTTTGCATACATGTGCAAATTTTTTTTACTGTTAACCTGAGTTACCTGCATGCATTGTCCAGTAAGATGCGATTTATCAGTCACTGTACTCATGTAGTACTCATAAAATTCAGGAAAAGACTTCTTCATCACCTCTCTGAATATTTAAATGCACAGAAAAACACAAAGAGACTTTGTTAAAACAGCATATTAAAACATATTAGAGCACCATGTTACTACGTACTTGCATATTTTACATGTTATAAATCTTTGAAAGATAGAGTCAAAATGCTTAACATGCACAGAACATGTGCTTTCTTTTTTGAAAGAGAATTTTAAACTCATGGTGCTACATGTAAATGTACATGTACAAATGTATCTGCATATTTTCATCTCATTTGTTTGTTCCATTCCTGGGTATTACACAGTGTTGGAGTCGAGTCCTCAAAGCTGAGTACCAAGTTCTCCGAGTACTATAAGGGCCAAGTCCAGGGCAGAGTCAAAGTACACTGTAACGAGTCCGAGTCCAAAGCACCGAGTCCGAGTACATTCAAGGCCGAATGGTTCAACCATACATACAGCATAATATTTGAAGAAAAAAAAACTTTGCAAAATTGCATATACAGTACACACATTTCTGACCACAGTAGTAAAAAAAGTGACAATATAGCTAGAACGATGTTCAGTAAGCAGTACGCATACACACGACATGCACGTGAAAAGGCAAGGCGTTTTGAACACATACAATATTATTTGTGTAAAATTCCCAAGATTTCCCTAGGAAACGGACAAAACATGCGCTTTTTGTAGCACTGAGGATTCGTGAATCGGGAGCCAGTCAAGTCCATGCTTCTTATATTTCCTCAGCGCTGCACGGTTACACGTGAGATCATTTCGGGATTTTTCCCAAGCAAAATCCTATTAGGATTTAAACTTGGGGAAAATCCTGATATAGTCTCACTGGTAACGACTTGAGTTCCAGGTTGCAATGGAATTGATAACAAAAAGAATTTTACTCGATTTGTACTCCCGACTACAGGGGTCGAGTTCCCGAGTCCAAACCAACGAGTCCTTGCCAAAATTCGAGTACAAAGAATCAAGTACGGGCGAGTCCCAATCATTTTCGAGTACTGATGGTCGAGTACGGGCCGAGTACTTGAGTGTACTTGAGTTGTACTCCAGTACGTATTACAACCACCCATTCTAAATAAAAATAATAATAACTAGAGGTTCGCGTTTGTTTAGTTACAAATAAACGCAGAGTGGTCGGGCAGGCAATTTTGTCATTAAACACTGCGGAGATAAGTTATGAATATGTTTATGTATTAAGAACAAAGGATAAAGAATTTAATCCTTTCCAGTACAATCAAGTACTTTGCTTAAAAAATGCATCTTTAACGGTTTGATAAATATCAGTAAACATTCTTTGTACACATACAAGCTATTTCTGGCTTGATGACGTCATAAGTCAAAAACGGGAAGTGGATACTGGTTTATTTCGGAGTGGATAAATGTTCATTGTGAAGTAAAATAATATATGAAAATATGGAAAATATAAGTGTATGTATCGGTATTAATAACACAAAACTTTCGGTTTGATGACGGCACAGAATTTGGAAGCAAAAGGTGAAAATTGTAATGGATAGCTACCATAGGATAGCACCATACATAATGCATCAGAACCAAGTCAGTGGCATTATGTAGACACAAAGTCAAACCCTGATGACATATCAAGATGATGACATATCAAGAGGGATGTCAGCCAGTGAGCTTAAGAAAAGTACAAGATCGCTACAAGGACCAGAGTTCCTCCTAATGCCACAAGAACACTGGCCGAAGGAACCAGAAGTTATGCAACCCCTGAGACAGAGTGATCCAGAGCTTAAGAAAAGCAAGGAGAAAGTGCCGATATTTGCTGTGGAGTCTGAAGAGAACAAGGCGACAAACAAACTACTCCAACACTACTCATCGTGGTACAGGCTAAAGAAGGCTGTAGCATGGATCCTGCGAGTAAGAGAGTATTTGCAGAACAAGAATCGACGTGTGCCAAATGACTTGAAGAGGCCACTAAACAGTAGATGATCTCGACAAGACAGAACAAGCAATCATCAGACACGTTCAAGGACAAGTCTACCCAGACACTGCACACAACCGCCGACCCTGTGAAGAAATCCAGTCCTCTCAACAGACTGGACCCAAAAATGAACAGTGAAGGAGTGATGTGTGTCGGAGGGAGACTGAAGAATTCCAAGCTGCAGACACAAGAAAAACATCCTGTGGTCCTTCCAAAGAAGAATCACATCGTCAAGCTATTGGTGAGACACTTTCATGCTGCATCAGGTCACTCAGGGAGAAAGCATGTTATGTCATTGATGAGACAGCGGTATTGGGTGATCGGAGGAAGAACCACTGTACGACAGGTGTTGCATGACTGTTTTGTGTACAAACGCCGATCAGCTTCACCCAGCATTCAGAAGATGGCCAATCTACCAGAAGACCGAGTAACCCCTGAGAAAACGCCATTCAACTACGTCGGAGTAGACTGTTTTGGGCCATTTTTGGTCAAGCAAGGCCGAAGTCAAGAGAAAAAGGTTCAGCTGTATCTTTACCTGTTTGGCAATATAAGAGCAGTTCGAAGTTCTGCATTCTATGGAGACTCACTCCTTTCTCAATGCCTTGCAGCGATTCATCGCTAGACGCGGTCAACCAGAACTTATCAGATGCGACAATGGCACACATTTTGTCGGAGCTGAGCGTGAGCTGAGGGAAGGGATCAATCGATGGAACAAGCAGCAGGTCCATGAGTATCTTCTTCAAAAGGGAATCAGATGGAAATTCAACCCACCTGCAGCGTCCCACATGGGAGGACCCTGGGAGAGACAGATACGAACAGTCAGGAAAATTCTGAACACTGTTATGAAGCAACAAGTTCTGCATGACAAAAGCCTTTCGACCATAATGTGCTTGGTTGAATCAGTGATCAATGGACGCCCACTTACAGTAGTATCTGATGACGCCAGAGATCCAGAACCCTTGACACCAAACCATCTTCTGCTGTTGCATCAGAACAGCGCATTGCCAGTCGATATATTCCAGAACCAAGACCAGTTCAGCCGTAAAAGGTGGCAACAGGTGCAGTATCTTGTGGATGTTTTTTGGTACAGATGGATACAAGAATATGTACCCTACCTGCAGCAGCAAGGCAAGTGGAACGAGCCAATACGGAACATTGAGGTCGGAGACATCGTTCTCATTGTTGAGGATCAACCGAGAAACCAGTGGTCCTTGGGGAGAGTCGGCGAGATCTACACTGGTGAAGACAAGCTGGTCCAATCGGCAAAAATAAAGACAAGGTCAACCACACTCGTCAGGCCCATCCACAAGCTATGTCTGATGGAGTCTGCAGAAGCCAAGGAGAGATGAGGTATCAACTTTATATTGAAGAGCTTTACACCAGTTTTGGAGTACGGAGTAGGCAAGAGGAGAGTATCATTGTGTCATTTGTGGAATTTACACATGTAAATGATGTCATGCATTGAAGTATGACAGAGGTGCAAGCCTAGCGCCGCCTCTTCTTTGAGTTTTTGATTTGGCCAGACTCCACCCTACATGTATCATGCTGAATCGCACACCTGCGGACAGGGGCACAATGCTTCTCAAAAGTGGGTAGGACGTACCTCGATCAGGACTGATACGAGCGCAAAGCCCTTACGGCGTGGGGTTCGGGGCCCGCTTAAGGGCCCCTAAAAAATTTGGATTCTAGATGCTCTGTGGTGTGATCTGAGGCAATTTCTTACCACTTTCATGCTTTTCAAACTAGTATTTTCTTAGCAAAAGATAATAATTTGAACATCGTTTTCGAGGTTGGAGTCATTGAATCAGCTACCGGTATTCTGAGCTAGCCATAAAGGCGTGTGGTTCGGAGCCCGCTTAAGGGCCCCGACAAAAAAAAATGATTCTAGATGCTCTGATTTCTGACCTCTTTAACCAACATTTTCTTAGCAAAAGATAATAATTTTAACATAATTTTAGAGGTTTTTGTCAGCTAAAGGCATAAAAATGTTGGATTCTAAATGCTCTGTGGTTCGATCTGAGGCAATTTCTGACCACTTTGGCCAATACATTGTATTTTCTAAGCAAAAGATACATTGTAGTAAATAATAGGGCCCTGTAAATGAGACACTTGTAAGTTCAAATTTTTTTTTTTTTTTTTTTTGGGGGGGGGGGGGACATTTGATAGTGTCCCCCACCCCTCAAAAAGTGTGGGGGGGGGGAGACATGTCCCCCTGTCCCCCCCCCCCCCCCCCCCCCAGGATTGACGCCCATGCCTGCGGAGCACCGGAACAAGTCAAGAGAGAAACAGTTCTGTCATCTCGGACAAGCAACATTTCTGAGTTGGACTGCGCAATCTTTGAGAACATTGCAAAACATTTTTTAATCCATGCTTGACGTAGATCAGAGTGCCACTTTAAGTTTGTCAAATCAAGTGATTTTCAGATTTTATGCAAGTTGCATTAAATGTTGCTTAATGGTGTTGTAATTGTTGTTACTGCTGCATATGATTATTGTCCAAATTGGATCTCATCTTGAAATTCTACTGATTGTGAAAAAATATTTTCAAGACACTAAGTAATGTGATTTGTATTTCATGTACAATTTTGCTAATCTCTGTAAATAGTTTGGATTTGATTATGCACAGTATGTTTGAATTCTTGTGAAATTTTGCTACTGCTGGAGAGGAAGTTACAGTGGAATTCCGAATAGATGATACACAATGTGCATGTTTTTTCTATCAGATCTGAAGTCAAGTTGTTTTCTATTTGCAGTTGATTTTCCCATGATGGATCACTTAATATTCCGTGTATTATAGCCAAGTGTTAAAATGTTCATGTTTGTTATTACTAAAGTAACAGTTTCGGAAACTAGTTCATAGTTCAAGTTAAAGGAGCAACATAGTTCAGTGTAATTTTAGTAAATGATCATAATTTAGTATTCTCATTTAAGGGGCCGGGATGTCGCGGGTAGGACAGTTTTCGAGCTCGTTAGTGACGTAATAGGCACAGATTTTTCTTGGTCAACAGAGGGCGCTGTCAGCGCGCCAGCATTGTCACAAATTTCCATAAGTTTGTCGAAATCCGTCAAAAGGTTCCTTTGATT